GTGCTCTTTGGAGGCAAGAATCGTGAAGCTTTGTTTCACGTATTTGGGGCATGTTGTTAGGAAGGGCTATTCCTTGGAAATGGACATCATGCTTGAAAAGGTGAAGGGTCAGCAAAGGAAGAGGAAGTCCCTCAGCGAGATGGGTTGATACAGTGTCTGCAGCAAGGGGCCCAAACGTGTTGTGGATGGTAAGAGTGGCAAAGGATAAGACAGGGTTCAGATTTGTTCTTCAGACGGTTGTTATGAGTCATGCTTTGCTTAATGGCACCTAGCAACAAGAACAATGAGGAAGGTGTTACCAGCACTTACAAGATAGAAGTGAATGATGCTATTAAACATTGCACAGTACACAGGGCAGCACCCCAATAAAGAATCATTGGGCCTAAAACTTCAATAGTGTCAAGGCTGAGAAAACTTGCTCCACCCCTTAAACCCGAATCACCTCATCTTTGTGATTGGGTCACTTTGACCCACCATGACCACACATATTTCAGAGTAGAACTGTTTTGCACAGCATTTCAGTTACTGTGATTTTACTAAAGGGAGCTCTGATGGCCGAAAGGATAGGGAGCTGTACTACCAACCCAGGCAAAGGCAGTTCTGACCCACCAACTGCTCCACAGAAGGGTGGACAGTCTCCTCCCATGATGTTTACAGCCTCTGAAAAGCCACAGGAGGGTCAGCTCTGCACTGGTTCTCATTCAATGGCAATGAGAGAGTGAGAATCTTATCACATCAGTTTGCCAGGTCTTTCTTCTGCAGCATCACTACGTGAATGTGAACAGTCAACACAGTGGTTAGTAGTCAAGCACAAACTAAACAAGCACTTCTAGTGTATCCTCTACATGCCACCACCAGATAGACCTAAAATACCATTACATTATCGTGCTTGAAACCCGTCAATGTCTTCCAACTGCCCAATTAAAATCTAAATTCTCCAGCAGGTCAAAGCAGATCCATTATGATTTGATCGTTTTCTAATTTCTGAGCTCACATTGATCCCAGCCCTCTCCTGCCCATACCCAGTGCCCTAAGATGGTTTACTACTGCACCTGCCCATGCCCAATGTCCTATGACAGTAGACCACTGCACCTGCCTGTGCCCATGCCCTATGATGGGGTACCACTGTACCTGGCCATGCTCGTGCCCTATGATGGTGTACCACTGCACCTGCCTGTGCCCCTGCCCTATGATGGTGTACCACTACACCTGCCCATGCCCAGTGCTCTATAATGGTGTACTAAAAAAAAAAAGAAAAAAATATAATGGTGTACTAGCAGATCTGCCCACTTACCATCCTACCTTCTGGGCTCTCACTGATCTCTGCTTTCTCTGCCCACGCCCATGCCCTGTGACCGTTTACTACTGTATCCACCTGCGCCTGTGCTCTACGAAGGTGTACCACTGTACCTGCCTGCGCCCGTGTTCTGTGACGATGTACCACTATACCTGCCTGCGTCCATCCCCTGTGATGGTGTACCACTGTACCTGACCACAACCATACCCTGTGATGGTGTACCACTGTACCTGACCACAACCATGCCCTATGACGGTGTACCACTGTACCTGCCTGTGTCCATGCCCTGTGATGGTGTACCACTGTACCTGACCACAACCATGCCCTGTGATGGTGTACCACTGTACCT